CTATTATTGCCGCTGTTATGTGCAGGAGTTCTGCCTACCCTGCTTGAGGATTGACAGCTTGCAGCGAAATGGAAATGTCAGTGGTCATGGACCGACTTATCAGGATTGTTTCAAGAGTGCAGCTGTCATGTTGAAAAACTTTGTTCTCATGCCGTCGCAGTTTCGTACTGAAGTATACGCATCCCCGTGGAGACGGTTCGCCTAAGACTTGTCTCATGAATTTTCAAACTTTCTTTTTTCATGGGCGTGAAGGCCTCGTCTTTTCTGCGGCTTCTTCATATGCTGTTACACCGGGGTGTGCTCCAGCACGCAAGGCCCTCGTTCGGAAGCGCGCCGATGGGCTGCCGACAGCTGCAGAGTCTCTCGGTGCAGCCTTCTTCACGTAATAGCTGCTGAGTTTTCTATTTTCAGTGCGAAGAAATTAGAAAAAGGTTGTCGCCTGATCTTGTAGAGAAGCCGGTGCTGCAGTGTCAGCGTTTTTAGTGCCGCCAGATTTTGCATTCCATCAACAGAATGGCTTCAAGCGAGGGCGATTGCTCGCTGAGCACGCAGCTCAGGCAAGTGGTGGGCGATGTGTCGCATGCCTCACTGACTGCCGAGCTGGAGGGCACGCGTTTTGACACTTTGCCTTGTCAGGGTTGGCCGAGTTTTTGTACGATGTCACGGGTGCATGGAACCTGGAAGAAGTTTCCTCATGATTCTAATGGCATGCTGTCTTCCAGCCTCCGGTTTCCCTAGCCAGGGGGTGCTGGAACATTGCCTTCAGACCCTAGACATGAGGAGCCCCATCAACTCGTAATTGATTACATCACGCATGAAGGGAGCTGATGCTCCAGGACTTGCAGGTTGCGGTTAGAAGGAAGTGCATGAATTCGGTGTTGGGGCATGCCTGTTAGGTAGTCCTTCGCTCTCAGAATCAAGATCTGGGCATTGCTGAATCGACCACAAGCTCCCCCCATAAATTTGCTGCTACCCCAAACCCTACTTGAGGGGTCAGGGGGACTTAGGCTGATAACCCTTATAACCCACATAGTAACCCCAATTATCCCCGTTATTAACTTACTTCTTAAGTCCCCCTGAACCCCCCCACCCTAAACCCTAAACCCTAAACCAAAAAAAACACTAAACCCAAAATAGTAGTTTCCATTTTGTTTTCCATTATTACTAGGTCCCCCTGACCCCCCCCCCCCAAGTAGAACCATCTCGCAGCCTTAGGATGCAATTTTCCACGGAGCTGCGGTCGTGAACTGGGCTCTGAGCTACGCGCAGCTTCGAGCCACGACCACACTTTCCTTTGCTGTGGGATGCATTTTTTGCGGTAGCTTCTAAATAGGGAGACACCAACCTATAATTCAAAATGCTATAATCCTCTTTATGGGGACCCAAAATGCTACCCCCATTGTTCTGGAAACCCCCATTCTTATAAGCTCTAGCGCTGAAAGCTTGGCAGCGCAGGCGAGGAGTTGCCAGGACTCCGCTTCTGCTGGCTGCCTAAAAAATGTCAGAGTATGGCTCACATACCGCCACGCCCTCTTGAGAAGTACCCACTGTACATTACCCAAATGGTATCTTAGAAATTCGGATTCATCCTAAACCCTAAACCATGCTTTAGAACTAAACCATGCTTTAGAAACTTTAGAAGGAGGCCGGCCTCCATCCCTAGGACCGACCAATGTCGTCGGAACCTGGCAGATGGTCCAGATTGCAATGCAAAGAGGCAACCCGGCCAGAGATCATGTCTAAGATTGGCTCACGGGACTTGGATGCTGCACATGAGATCTACCCAGTCAGATTCAGTATGTATTTACCAGTAAGTAGATGTGCACATGTAGGGGTGAGACGGTTTCTCTGTGGAGGTGTTCCTTTCTACCACATTTCCACCATCTCTCTGGCTGCTGGCGAAAGCGGCATGAAGAACCGTCAGGCTCTGAGGGCCCTCTGCTGGTAGTTGCTAGCTGCCAGCTGGGCCTGCGAAGTTTGGAGGGTTCACGGAGTAGAGATTAATCCCTTATGTTATAGTATATTGGGAATATTTGACATTTTAGGGGGTGTGGGGGTGTTTAGTAATAGGACATTAGGGGGAGGGCCCGGGAGGGGATTTGAACTAACAGGAAATCTGTCGAACGTCGAGCTTGCATGAGGAATTCCCGTATCCAGCCCATTGTAGATCTGCATTCAGGTGTGCTAATACAGGGTGGGAGGAGGCATGAGGGTGGGAAGGCCCCAAGCACCAGCAGTTCGGGTCAGCATTGATGTGGCTCCTTCGCGCCTCGCCATCACCACGACGACCATATTTCATTCTGCTCTTGTATCGGTAATGTTGGCATGTTGTCAGTACCACAGAAGGCCACTTGGTGCACGTCTACGATCTTACTGTAAATCCCTCTCCTTGTCACCCTTTGACGGACATCACCTGTTGACAGACTTGTGTTGCAGGAGGTGCAGAATGGTTATGTCTTGAGCAAGCTGGCAGCCGAAACTTTTGTGCAAGCTGCGCCTTGACCGCAGGTTTTCACATCTATGGGGTGCTAAACCATATTCACGGGATGGCGATCATTCTGTTGCTTTTCGTTGCTGTCCCAGGGATTGCGACCAGCTACCAGCAACTGTCAGATCAAGCCACCTATAGTGTTGGGGAGGCTTTATCTCGCGGACTCCGTGGCGCCATTTTCCGGCCGGGCATGCTTTGCGGGAGCTCCGCGACAGGTGCCCGCAACATGGTGTGATAGGCCAGCTCGATGAGCCAGCCGGCTGGCCCATGAGTTCCTGACATACTTGAGGTCTAGGGGCTGAGATTGATTTTGATGCGTCGACTACGCTTGCAAGGGTGCGCAAGATCAATCTGCATGGTGAAGCATGACAGCCAGAAATAGACAGGTGCCAGTCGTTCTGACTTCTTCCCCGATCGCTTTCTGCGGAGCTGCCTTGAGTTAAGCTGCTGCCCAGAGTCCAGCGCCGTTTGCGACTGGACTCCAGTAGATTATGCAGCAGAGGCGGGCAGGGGTTTGGTGCAGATACAGAAGTTCTTCAACCAACCACCTTGACTTCCGTTTGAGCAGGCGATCACAAACGCTGCCATGCGTGGCGTTCCTGCTCTCGGCGGCACCTTTCATGTCTACAATCCTCGGAGTCCGAGCTATTCCGCTTTGGCAGCACGTCTGGGCTTGTCGACCGTGCCAGTCCAAATTTTCTGGCAGAAGGCCTGCACCTTTGCGAGGGGACGAGCCGATCCGTAACGATTATTGTCACTATCATTTGGATTCTTGATACTGTTATTAGTACCATGACTTTTATTCTTATCCGCACGGTTCCGTTTATAGGCTTTATTGTTGATATTGGTGTTCAGATTGGCTGCTATTGTTGTTATTGTTTTTTTCTTTTTGTTATTGTTACTTTGTTATTGTTGGTATGAGTCCTTGATTTTTGTTTTTGTTATTGCTATACTTATGATTACTGCAATCCCCTTACAGAATACATATGAGCATGCAAGCCCAACTGCAGGGCTTCTGATAAAGCTGCGCGTGTAGATTCACTGTGTCAAACATGCCGCAGAGATGCCAAGCGTGCACAGGTTCGAGACAACCCAGAGCAACTTGGCAGCATTCAGTAACTGCAGACAGTGGCGGCGGCGTCTGATTGGGGCTGGGAATGATCAAGGCCACGGGGGAAGGGCTTCAGTTTGTTGGTGGCAGGATTGAGCAGTTGCAACTATTGACTATTGCAAATGCATCACACTGTAACAAGCAATCTGCTCCAGGCGAAGTGGATGCCCGAATTCTTAGAAAGAGCAGTCTTCACACTCCAACTAACTGAACGCCAGGAAAGATCTTTCACTAAACTTCCTTGGAGCCCGATCCTGACAGGAACCCAATGGCACCACTGGAACCTATTCTGGCAGGCCAGGACGCAAGCTTGTAATTCGAGGAGGGCTTGATCCAAATACATGCTACCATCCAGCCTTGCCCCCCAACCTAGCAGAGATTCTAGTGTCAAAGGGTCAGCCCAGAGGAGGATGCAAAAACACAATCACAGGATGATTAAAGCCACCAAGCGACGTGACACTGCCAGCTTGTTCTCCATCCATTTGAATTCCCTGTTCAGGCTGCCTGCCCATGGCAGAGGACTGGGGAGATGCTAACCTTCAAAAGGTGCACTGGATGCTGTACTTGTTGAAAGCCTTGTGTGCTTAGCTGATGACGAGGCAGGGGCTGGCATTGAAGATCTGCACGACAATGACGGAATAGGTTTCATCTCAGATAGAGAACAGCCAATACACATTGTTATGAACTTATGATTAAACTCGCTTCGTCGACTCCTGATCTGTCATCGAAGAAACTACTTCAGTCGCCCCTCGTCGTGCCATTATTGCCTTGCTCAGATCAGTGGCATCCAGTCAACACGAGAAACTCGCAGCAACCCTCTATCTGTGTAAGCCCTGGACAAAAATTCGATCAAACTTTGAAACATCATAACGCTCTAGATACCCTTCAGAAAACCCTGCAAGCCTGTTGTAAATCTGCTATACAATACAACCCATAAGCCTATGTAAACCTTCTATAAAACTTATATACAGCCCCTCTATAAACATAATATATAAGCCCTTTTTAAATACATCCAAGTTAAACATCTAATCACCAGGGTCGGAGGCGGGGACCCAAATTGACCTGCACCTGTTCAGGTGCTGGGAGCTGAATACAAGCCTCCAGAGATTACCGAGGACCAGCATTACTTTCTGGTAGTTCTTAGTCGGGAATATAAGAGTACTTCATGTAGGGATGATATTCCCTTATTCCCTCATAACCATAGGACGATCTGCCGTTCCAGGTTTTCGGTTCGGACATAGGGGTTGGTAGTTTAGTATAGTCCGCAATATATTTTTTAATAGGAGCCCATGTCCCTTACAGATTATTTGGCATACCTGTTGCTTGTAGCTCATGTGCCGTTTGCCATCCAGCCCAAAAATCTTGCTCGAATGCGGGGGCCAACGTGCGGCTCGGGCAATGCCGGCTCTGGGGGTAACGCTGCTGAGTGGCAAGCCGGTGGTGGAGTCCGGGATATTCCTGGGAAATTTTCTGTGTATAGTGGACTATCCCGTATATAATATTCCTTGAAAAGCCATAAGAAAGAGATATGTATAGGGCCCTAAGTTTATCCCAGGAGTTTGAGGACTTCGAGGGCAATGGTGCGGAGTTGCGAGAGCGGGTAGCTTGTGAGCTACGGATCTCGCCTGAGCGTGTCAAGCTTCTGACTGGCAGCCGGGAAGTTGCCAACGAAGAGGCCCTCACTGAGGATTTGGAAGTGACAGCCATGGTGGCAGAGGGACAAGAGTTGCCGGAGTGGTGTGGAGCAAAGATGCTCGGGTATTCCTTTACCGAGGTATCTGGAGTTGGGCCTTTGCCAGAAAACTCCGAAGAAATAGATGCCAAGTTGCTTGGCCGGGTCTTTATGCTGGCTTTGAAGCGACACGAGGATACAATAAATCGCGCCTACGTGAAAAACGTCATGACTCTGGGTGTTTCCGCCGACGTTGCTACCTGGGATTTTCCTCCTCGCCAGGAGTTTCTCCAGTTTCGAGCTGGGCTTAAGCTACCGCCCCAGATATCAGACCGCAGGAGGGAGCAACTGCTCCGTACATGGGAAAGGATGCATCAACGAGCATCTGCACACATGAAGACATGTCAGGCAGCGATGGCTGCTTTTCTTCAGCTGGACCACCGTCTCATCTTGGGCTCCACTCCAGTCAAGTGTTACAGCCGCTGGGAGTCGCACAACGAAGAGAAGGTCGAGAAGAAGGGGCACCATCGTATTTACGGTCTGCGCCAGGCATATTGTGCTGTTGAGTTTGAGAAGCTGCTGGGGAGCTGGATCGAGAGAGCTGGAGTGTTGGACCGCGTGGCCTCAGAGAGTATCCTGGGCGCGTGGCCTTGGGCTGAGACTCGGTTCCGGTCAGAACCTTTCGCCCCAATGCAACCCTTCGCCAGCCCCATTGAGATGTTTAGTCCGAATCAGGAGGTAGATTCGGAAGCCGTGTCACAGCGGTTTGAGGCCTTCACACATCTACTCGTTGCGTCTAAGCGTGGTATTCCAGAGGCTGCATGGATGGAGCCCTACTTTGCAAAGGCGGTGGCCGCTTTAATGCACAGCCTGCAGATGGCTGTTTGGCTCCTCATGGACGCAGCGCTTGCAGCGAGCAAGCGCAAGGCCTCGCTGCATCAGAAAATCTTCCAGGAAATATTGCGCAGAGGCGTGATGGCCTTGAAGGAAGCTGGAGGACATGTGGAGGAGCTGAATCTGGAATTGCGCACGTTCATCCTCACGCTGGCTGACCACCGCAATGATGCTTTGCGGAGCTGGGGTGTGGAGCTCTTGGCCCAACACTTCCCTGAGGAGGATTCTACGAAAGACTTGCTCCAGAAGCACTCCCAGTTGCCAGCTCAGAAGGAGATGTCAGCTAGCTAGCAATACGAACTCATTGCTGGGTCGGTGTTGTGCTTACTTAGTGGTTGGAAACATCGGGGTTGATCATGCAAGCTCTGAAAGCGAGGGGCCATGAGCTGTTTTTTTCAAATTCGAGGTTTGAATTGCCCTGATGTGCCTGGACTTGAGTCAACATGACTGACAGTGCTCAGTGCTGGCATCGACTGTACTTGAGGATTTCCCAGTGCCATCCAGTGCATTCAACACATCCTGAACTCAAGACAGACAGGAGCTTCGGGAAACTTGGGGTCATAGGGGATGCTCGCAACGTTGTGTGATCTGAAGCTTGTGAGTATCATTACTGATTGCCGAGAGCCCAATGCCACGAAATGATCTTGAATGCTCAGGTCTGATTGGCCACACATGCGCGCCGTACTCCAGGAGGTCTAGCAGGGATGATGCCACAACGTGAATGTGTTCCCAATCATTTGACACCCTTCTATACACAAAGCTCCTCTATCAACACGTTCATCTGAATGGCGCTCTCAAACTTAGGCCGTGAAGAGCAACACACGACAGGATCACATCAGCCTCCCCCGGGGCGCAAGGGTTCTTCGCTTGAGATGCTGGATTGATGTCTGCCTTCTTACTTAACGGGTCAAGAAAAAAGGGGGGACCGACTGCTACTATACGGAAAGCCCAGGCAGAGGACCAGAGTGGTACCCATCCATTTTGAGACTTGCTGGGGGTTAGTAGGGAATAAGGGTATATATTACACAAGGATTCTGTGGGATCAGATTCCCTTATCCCCTACTAGGAAGAACCAGCAATTTTGAGAAATCCACACATTGCAACAAGCTGGAAGGCGAGACACAGAGGCTGTGGCAATTTGCCAGCTGACGGATTGAAACCGATCCTTGACCTTGTTCGAGAGCCCACCATATTTTGGTATATATTGGTTATATAGGGTCTGGCGCTTACAGTCAAGTTTACGGTTGGAACATGCTCCAAACACATTACCTGGGTTGCTCGTCGAAACCCAAGACAAGACCAGCCAAAGCAACAACTTTTGAAGCAAGCTCATGCACGACTTTGTTGATTATGGGGCTCAAGGGTAAGTTCTTTTGCTAGCGGCGTGGACAGTGCAGCGACGTTGATGCAGCAGCATGGCACAAACACACAATGGACCTTACCATTCCGTATGCCAAGTAGCTTGCTGCGGGCATTTTCTTGACGCCCGCAGCATTCAACACGCAGACGTGGTAATTTCCTAAAATAGGGGGACCCCAATATAGACCCCAAAATACCATAATCCTTATTAAATGAACGGAGACCCCCAAAATGATACCCCTAATTTTGGGAAACCCCCATATGGCGAGCTAGTGAAGGTTGTTGGGTGACTTCTCACGCCTCTTTCTGCCACCCAGGCCAGTGGTGCTGTCACCGCGGCAATTGCTGCAGTCAGAGGTGCAGGGCTGGATATCATATAAGCCACAATTGAAACTCCTTAAAGGAAGGTTATATAGGGGATTATATGGTAGGGTTTATAAGGGCTTAGGGTGTTTATTTAGCAGGGTTTAGGGTTAAGAGTTTACGAGGCAGCCCTTCAGACGTAAGATGGTAGTGCTGTCGTGTTTTTTCTGTCAGCTGATTTGGAGCAGGTCAGATGGGACAGGCCTTGAGGGCTGAAGGTTGCGGATGTGAGCATATTAGGGGTTTATTGGGGTTAAATTGGGAGAGTGGAAAAAATGGAAAGTTCGATAATGGGTTATATAGGGACTATAGGGTATATATTTGGGATCCACTCTCAAGCAAGCTGTGGGCTTCTTGATTGGTTCAGAGTGCCTGTAGAATCATGAAAAGTGCTCGGACATTTCACAATAGCGCATACCAAACCCCTAAAAGAGCACCAGCAAAATCGCGAGTGGAGCACAAAGGCTCGAAATGCATCCGGTTTCATGTGACCATCCTGTTGTTGATCCCCAGCTTCCATTTCTATTTCTCAGAAGCTACAGATAACCTGTACCATTGCTCCTGCAATATGTTGGTGCGCAAGCATGAATCTAAAACTGCGGTCCAGGTGTGGCTTCGGAACCCTGTCCACTTGCCCGCACCACCTTGCCAACCTGGCTGTAAAAACCACATGCTGTGTGAGTGCATTTGAGATGTTGTCTAGTTCTGCTCGCGGGCGACACAGTCGCAGAGAGTGAATTGTAGCTTTGAGGCAGACAACTGCGCAAACGCTGTTTCTTTCATTGCTCATAATTCGGGAAAGCCCGGCTTACCAAAATTGCCCTTAAGGGGCGTGGACTGGGAGCGGACAGGTTGCTGGCAAGTAATCTCACAAGCTTAGGTAACATCCTGCCCAGGGGGCCTCAAGGGAAGATTCAGCGGTGATATCAGCAACCTGCGGGTAGCGGATGCTTGCGCATCTGCATGCAGGCAATTCATCACTGGCCTCCCAGCCAAATTGTTGACATAAAGGGACAAATGGCAGAAGCGGAAGTCTTGTAACTTGTACACTCTTGGGCTTGCTGCTCAGGAGGATTCGGTGGAGAGCCATCTGCATCATGATGATTAGAAATGATTGGTAGTGTCATGTCAGCGCGACAATGATGATGCTGGGGAGAGCACCGTGCAAAGCACGGGGCAGATAGCCGATAACAGTTCGAAGGGGCGTGCGTGGCTTGAGTTGCTGAATTCTGAACAGCTTTGAAGGTTGAACGTCGTCCTACATAACAGCGTACGGAGGCATGTTAGCCAAAGTCGCTTCATATGCAATAAAATGCAGACTGAAGCCTCCGGAGCCCCTGGGCCCGTTGTGGCAGCTAGCTGAGCAAAGGATTTGTCCTGGCTCCCAAATTGCAACACATTGCTAAGCCCATAAACAATGTCTCTTCCGTTCCTCTTCTCGAAGCTGGCTTGCGCGGTGCTGACACCACTGTTGCAGTAACAGGGGCGACTCCGGTGTCGCGAAGCGACATCAGGGTTTTCCAGCCTACAAGAGCAGCGGGCTTGTGCTTCTTAAAAGGAGACTTCGCTATGCTGGTACTAGCAGGGTCCCACAATATGGCGGTTTTTGGTTGAATGCAGGGCCTCTCGTGGAGGGCATTGTTTGCACAAGTCATTGCCTGAAGAGGGAATCTGGTGTGGGGACTGTAACTTGTAAACAAACCTTTGAGACGCGTGCCCTCTCTGGATAGTTGTACCTTCTGGGCCCATCCATCCGCCAGGAGCTGCTTCGACTGCACCTCGGCTTGGTTATCGTTCAGGCCCATATGAAGCAGCAGCGAAGCAAGCTCAGGTATGCACAACGCCTGATGGGTGGCCCGCAGCGAGACAAAGATCCGCCAGCCGAAGCATCCATGCCAGCGGATTGCGGTGATCAAAGTTGACTAGATGTTTTGCAAGTATCCAGTACAGCTTCACGGTTGGTTCTGGTGATCTAAAGGTAAGCATGCTTCTTTTGATGGGACCTGTTGCTCCCAGCACATGTTGCCCTTACACCCTTCATTGCAACATCAACTTGAGCAACTGCAAGTACTTAGATGGCTTGGCAGTGGCCCTGATGCCTGCCAAGGCTGCGCGAGGTGCAGGACAGTGAAAGCCGAAACCTCCGGGAAGAGATCAAGCATTTGGAGGCGGCTAAGGGCTTCAGGGCTTGGAGTTTGGAGGTGAACCCAGCAATCTTTAGAGGCCTGGGTGCATAAGGGCTTACGAGTTTGGGGCCTGAGGTTTAGGGTTGAAGGTGCCTCCACTGCCATGGACACTGGGTGGGAGTGGCATTGAAAGATAGCGCCGAAGTTTAGCAGGAATGTAAGCAGTGCTCAACCACACCCAGCCGTGGATGCAGCCACCTAGCCATGGTCCAAAAGCTCTTAATACCGACCAAGATCAGCCTTGCTGCGCCAATCGCGCGGGAGTTTCGCTCACCCTACAAGGCCGCAAGTGAAGCTTCGTCACAGTCGGACTCCCAGCGCTCAGTTCGAGAGGGTCTTTAGGTCCAGGGCCAGGGGAAATGAGCCAAAAGAACCTGCGTTCTGCAAATAAAGGTGCTGCAGCATTCAGATTCTGCTGCAGACTATGGGGCTTCAGACTTCAGACTGCCAGCCCTAAACCTTGGAATACATTGAACTGCAAACAAATCCTTGGGCCCTTCTTCGCAGCTCGTTGTGAAAGCATCTGATTCACTCCCAGCTTCTTGGCAGGGATGTGGTGAATCCTGAAGTTCTGAAGGACTTGCAATGCCTCAAGCGTAGGGAATTATGGGTATCTGGGTTGTGACTATTGCAGAGCTTCCTATGGATCAAATCGAGGGTCGTCTTGGTAGCTTGTTCATTCGGTCCATCAGGAGTAGGCAGAAGTAGCGGGAAAGTTTGGAGTGAAGGGCGATCTCAATCTATTCCCGTGAGGATCTTTATTTTGCAGGTGCACCGGCACCTTCTTGTTTGAGAAGAACACGGTAGGTGGGAGGTTTTCAAATATTCTCTATATAATCTTTTCTAAGCACATGAAAGTTGTTAGGGTCCCTAAGGGCTCGCTATTTTGAGACACTCTATCTTTGCTCTGCGGATACAATGGCTGCGGCCACGGTGTGGAAGGTCAAGCCAGGAGCTATCCCAGCAACTGCGCGATCTGGAGCGGAGGTGGGTTGAGCAGTTCAGGGTCTGGGGTTGAGGGTTCCCATGATGCGAAAGGCTTCTGATAGGAGAACGCTACTGCGAAGGATTGTTTATGATGAATGATGCTATCTCGGGACTTGCTTATTCACAAATGCAATGAGACCAATTTTACAGCCGACCCCACTTGAAGCAAGGAACCCTCTGAAGCCAAGTTAGATCTAGGCAAGGTTCAGATCTAAAAAAGAGAGCTGCTTTTGGTGAGTAATTCTTACTTGACTGAAGGATTTCCAGAGTGACAGAGTCATGGTTCGTGCGCTCCCTGACAAAGTTGGAGCCATCATTGTAGCTCCTGTAGCTGTGATTTGGAGCCACAGTTTCTATTTATGACTCCCGTTGCGATGTTTGGCTCAGACACGACGGGCCTTTGGGGTGACCCATGCGTGGCCCTAGGGGTGGGGGAGGTCCCTGATACGGGCTCCCTGGGCTGGGGCCACCCTGGGGGGTGTCCCCATGGCCGACAAGACAAATCTGGGGCCCATCAGCCCCAGAAGATTGGACATTGACAGATGTATCGCACCGTGGCATAAGAAAGGTCTTTTCGGGTTTTGGGGGCCGGGAGAAGTTCTTCCCATCTAGCATCCCGTAGCACCCCGAAACCGAACAGCACACAAGCCTGGGCGCCAAGGAGCAACTCATGGAGTGCAAGCACCTCTCTGAGAATGAGGTGAAGCAACTCTGTGAGATGGCACGAGACATCCTGGCAGAGGAGCTCTGAGTATGCGGAGCATTCAAGGGCGTGGGGCCGGATTGCTACCACCCTGATGGCCCCCAATTGAGAATTATATCTGCCTGTTACACATCTGGGGTCCATGTTGGGCTGACAGTGTACTGTACGAGGAAAATGAGGTTCACTAGGTCAGGGCGGCAAGATGCTTCATAGTTGCCACGTCCACAGTCGATTTCCTTGAATGGCAGCTTCAGAAGGGACGCCGATGCCTCGAGCAACGCCGTTCAGTCATATACTCTTACACAAGGGCGTACCTACAACCCAGCACTTTCAAGCAGGGTTGGAAGCAGCTTCTTCGCAATTCAGCTCCAACACACAGCCAAACAAAAGAAGATGGCGTGCCTGGTTTGTCAAAAGGTCATGCTTTAAAAGTGCTTGGCTTGCCTCATCATTTCACCCTCAAAAAATGTTTAATCATAGTAACAATAGTAGTAGTATGAGTATGCGATGCAACGTTGTCCACCCTACAACATACCTGCTCTGGCAAAGCCCTTCTACAGCGCGAGGAGAGCAACGTGCAGCCTGTTAGATGCCCTGTGACGATCTCAGGCCTGTTGCTGAGTACTAAATAACAACAATAGTAGTAGTTATCATAGTGATAGTGATAAAAAAAAAAAAACAGCAATAGTGATAGTGGGTGCTGCTCCTGTGTTGTCCTGCTACGAGGGTTACATGGCGACTCGCATGTGGAAATCTTAAACCCGAAGTGCTTTGCAATGAACTTGTTCCTCATGGTGTGTGTATTGCCATTAAGATTTGTCCCTGCGGATGGTCAGGTGACATCCATGGTCAGTTTCATGACCTCATGGAGCTGTTCCGGATAGGGGGCCTCCTCCCAGACACAAACTACTTGTTCCTCGGTGACTACGTCGACCGGGGCTACTTCTCCGTAGAGTGCGCAGCTTTCCTGAAAAGACGGCATTTCAGCTTCTCATGTTGCAAACAGACACCTTTACTTGTACCAGGGCACACATGCATCTAAAGAGAAAGTGTGTCAACGCAAAGCGGCCTTTTTGCAATGATAAGAGCAGGTCAGCCAAGATGCCTGCCACACCTGAACAGATAACATGAGCGTGGACAAGACCTACTGGAGCTGTCCCCTTCTAGAAAGGGAACCTGTTAGGCATGCTGACGACTAATTTTGGCGCTGTGTTTCTGCTTTTCTTATGTTCCGTTTCAAGTCGGCACTCAACCTACGTTGGATGGAGCCTCGATCCAGCTGAGCTATAGTGTAAACTCCAAGTATCCCCCGTAATGACCCCTATAGTTGTCCCCTATATAACCCCCTTTAAGGCACTTTAAGGAGTTTAGACAAAAGCTCAGCTGGCATAGACTCTCGCACTTGCTCAGGTGTCCCTGCTGCTCGCCTACAAGGTCCGGTATCGGGAAAGAATTACTATCCTGCGCGGGAACCATGCGCCTTGCTTCAAGGCTTAGCAAGCAATCAGCCAAAAGCTAATCCCAGAGCAAGTGAAAGTAATCCCCGCCCTCCAATATGAACCTCCCCACCATACCTGATATTAAATAATTATGCCCCATATACCATAGGATACCACAAGGGGAAAAGGGTTCTAAAGCAGGTTGAAACTGTCACCTGCCCACGTGCTGCTTGGCAGCTTCAGGAAAGCCGGCAGATCACGCAGATCTACGGCTTCTTCGACGAGTGCGCGCGGAAGTACGGTAGCCAAAGCGTGTGGAGCCATGGCTTGCAAGCAGCTCCAGCCAAGGTACCCATGGCACCCAAGCGAAAACTGCTTCATGGCATAATGCCAACAAATAATGCTGCTGAGTCTAACATTTCAGGATCCATCTCTAAAACAGAAGGCCAGTTAGAGTGGCTAGCAGGTTCGCCTTGTTGCTTGGGGAGGCGCAAGGGTACCCTAAATAGTAGTTTCCACTTTATTTTCCATTATCCCAATATAACGCCCATATTAAGCCTATATAACCCCAATGGGTGTGGTATACAGCAGCAGCTGCCAGTGCAACATCTGACTGGTGTCCAAAAACCTTGCAAGCCCCTTTGTCTATCTTGTTGTCCTCATTCCCCAGTTCAGGAACAAGACTTTCATCCAGGGGGGGTGGTATATTTAGGTTTAAGGTGTGCCGTCCTGACTCTGTAGGAGCCGGCCAGTATGCATCTGTAGAAAGAACTAGACTAGCCAGGAAGATGTTCACCGACCTTTTCGACTACCTGCCCTTGACGGCCCTAGTCGAGAATAGGATATTCTCGCAGCATGGAGGCTTTTTGCTTTGCTGGTTCACATAGACTTTGGCTAGGACTGTGATTAGCTCATTTCTTGCAGGGTTTCTTGTGGTTTTGAGGGCATGTTTCAGGATGCCAGCTTTCCAAGAAAGGGCCGCGAATATGGGGTGGGATGCCCTCTTCGAGGACCCCCCCCAATCTGCAGTACGACTGCCCAGACAAAAACAAATTGTCGTTTTTCTGAGAATATTCCGTTGCCGAGACCTGGAAGAAACACCCTAGGCAGTTGTACCCATTCTCACGCAGCCGCTATTGAGCCTCATATCCTCTCAACTACCACACACACCAAGAATGCCACACCCTATCTGGGAGGCCTCTCGCCTTCCATCGAGAAGTTAGATGATGCTCCTGGGGGCTGCAGATTCAAGTACGTTTTTTCTTCGTTTCTTTTGAGTGGAACTACATGGCATGCTGAAAGTTGTAAAAAGCATCATATGCCAGGGTTATTCGATTCTTCCAATGAGAAAGTTCCAGAAGAAGCACCCGGCAGAAGTGGGGTCGGGCGAGGATGTATATCCAGCACAGGGCTTCGTGCATAAGGCTATCATTCATGTTCATCCCTGCTTGGGGATGTTTCTGGAGAGGTGTAGTGGGATCATCAAGTAGGTGCCATTGGAAGAAAACTTAACCATCCAGAGCACGTAGTCCAAGATTTTGTGGTGCAAGAGGGCACTGCTCCAACAATTTGCTTACGCTCTATAACTCCATAATATAGTAGTTTCCATCTCTTTTTCCACCCTTCCTATATATCCCCAAAATATACCCTATATAACCCCGATATAGTAGTAGTTTCCATTTTTTTCCATTATCCCTATGTGCCCCCTATATATGCAATATTCTATCAATGCTGCCTACCAACTTACTGGACCCAGGATATCTTCATGATCCTGCATTCTAGGTGAGCTGTAGTCTAAACTCCTTAAAGGGCGGGGTTGTATAGGAGGCTACTATACGGGTTACTATGGGGGATACTAGAAGTTTAGACTATGGCTCAGGTGGGGTTTGGGATGCCTCATTATGGGAATGTGTTCTTGTGCAAGGCTACAGGTGGAGCACACGAAAACCCGGCTTCTCAAAACGCCATGGTAGTGGGACATTTCCTCCAAAACTTCCTCCAGACCTGATATGGGGAGTTCCAAGCTTTTTTCGCAACTCATTCCATGAAAGTTATAGTGTACTGGGGTTTATGTTGGGCCCCCTATTGCGAAATAGCACATATCCTCATGAAGCCCATCCCTATATGTCCCCATATAATCCTCTTTTTTTTCCTGAAAAGGTGTGCCCCAAACCCTAAACCCTAAAACCCTAAACCCCAAACGTCATCTCAGGTCAGGAAGCTGGACAGGATACAGGAAGTTCCCCACGAAGGCGCCATGTGCGATCTGCTGTGGAGTGTCTGGGCTCAAAACTGGGTTACTGATTGGGTACTGCCCCCCCCCGTCAGTAATAGTTGGATAATGATTCTAATATTGTAATATATAGCCCTTAATAGGACCCCTAATATAGACTGTTACTGGGTGGGGGCAGTACCCAAGTTACTGATAAGGAACTTAAATCAAGTTACCATAGTATAGGTAGATATAGTAGAGAATCGGATTGCCTTTGCTATGGTAACTATAGTATCTTTATTCAAGTTCCTTAACAACAAGCCAGAAAAGGCCATGAAGCCTCAATCGGCAATTTGCAATGGCCACGTTATTGTAGTATTGTTGTTATGTTGCGAGCAATATTATATCAGTATTCCTGCTGTACTCTCATCACTATACTTAGGAGGAAAACGGCCTGAGGAATTTCCAGGATGGATATTACTTGCTGGTTCTAAGTAGGGAAGAATGGAACAGAATCCAGATATAATCCCTACATATGATATTTTCCTGTTATTCCCTACTGAGACCTAGTAAGCTTACTGGATTCATGTTCATAGGCTTGGCGGCTTCTGGCTTTGGATTCGTGAAAGTACCCGGAGGGGTGACCACGTGATTTGCAGGACCTCGAGTTTTGTGTTGATGTTCAGTAGGCAAGGGGGTATGCCAGCAGGCCTAGTTTCCCGAAATAAATAGGAGGACCCCAATATACACCCCAAAACACTACAGTCTTTATTATGGGGACCCCCAAAAAGTACCCCATCAGCAGTCAGGCAGGTCGTGAACGTGCGGCATCATTCCTCAACATCGGGAAACATGGAAGGTGATTGTTGTCCAGTCACAGGCTAGACTGTCTTTATTCACCCTGAACACTTGAGTAACATCCTTGGTACGGCTTTCGCATGTTTGACTGAGGTGACCCTGATGACCGTCTTGGCTGGGGCGTGAGTCCTCGAGGTGAGAAGTTGAAGATGTTTGACACCTGAGTCTTTCATGCCTTTTCCGAAGTGCCTGAGCCCGAAAGACTGCCAAACTGAAGTTGAAGAGGTGCGGGCTACACGTTCGGGCAGGATGTGTCCGAGAAGTTCAACCAGTCGAACGGCTTCTAGACCTTTTTCCCCTCCTTCAGGGTTACTGATGGAGGGACATGCAGTTTGGTGGAAGGTGAGTGTTCAGGGCTCTGAGGAAGGGCCGGTGAGAGCAAGGTGGTGCGAGTGCCTGCGTATGTGCTGTCCAGTGCAGGGCATTGCAAGCAGCACATCCGCACGCCGCCACGGGACCCAAACCAGTGTAGGTCGTTTGGACCTGGCATGTTCTAATGATGCCGTTCAGTAAGGCTTGAACCTCATCGCGAGAGCGCACCAGCTTGTCATGGAGGGGTACAACTGGACCCATGAAGCTCGAGCCGCAGCAGTCTGGTCATCGTGGATGAAGACCCCAGATAACCCCAGCAGAACAGCAATCAGAAGACCTTGCTAATGAAGCTTCCGGCAAGAACAGGGGTGAGAGGGTGGATCTCAACAGCGTACCCAAGTCTTGGTTCATGTGCTTGAGGCATGATAGCATCTCTCAGCAATCACCGGAAACATCACATGCCACGAGTTGTGGCTAGAGATTACTTGAAATTCCTAATGATCGTTTCCACAACCCCTCCCCGAACCCTTGCCAAGGAGCAGCAAGTTGTCACCATCTTCTCAGCGCCGAACTACTGCTACCGTCGCTGGGGTTAAGCTTCAGTTACAAAACCCAACTACTATGGTATGTTGGGGTTATATATAATGGAATTGAAAATGGCAAGTACTATAGTATACTAGGGCTTCCCGAGTCCCCGACATCTGATGTTGAAAGTAATTCAGGCATGTGCGCAAGTGCTACCGGCGATGGTGTTCTAGCCTGCATGGTCTAGCTCATGGCTTTGTGAGTATAAGCGTGATGGAATCAGTGTAAGGGATAGGAATTGTACCCCTTTCGGAGGTACCCCCCCAAGACTTAGAACCCTATTAGGCTCCATCTAGCCCTATATATAGTCTTCATTAGCTCCTTAAGCCCTGGGTCGTACCTTTGGGGGGTTACTATTGCAACCCCTTACAGTGTAGCACAGGAGATGTTGAGCTTAAGCAGGATTCCTCTGACTCCTACTGAAAGCGTGGAATTGGCTTTCCAAACTCCAAACACCTCTGATTTTTGCTGGTGCTGACCACCTGTCCCAAGAATGCTGGAGAAAATTAAGTCTGCACGAATGGCAATTCGCAATAGTCAGAAGAATAGTAACAGAAATACTAAAGAAAATCATAAAAGAAGAAGCCCAAGGTTCGGGGAACCAGGCTGCCATCATGGAGATTGATGAGCGGCTAGGTTCTCATTTTGTGCAGTTCGACCCCGCGCCACGCCGGGGTGAGGCAGCCATAGGCAGACCCCCGGTAGAATACTTCCTGTGACCTTGCGTAGCCGTTGCTGGAAAAGTGGTGCTTGGATGATTCCTTGGGCACTTCTCTCTCAGAAGACTCTTCATACAAGTGCGACCGTGATACCAAAATGAACATCACAACGCTTTGCAGCCTTCAAGGCGAATCAGAGCCACATTTGTTGGCCGAGGGAAGAGATAAGCTCAAGTGCCTTGATCGATAATTCTGCGGATGCGAAGCTGCTGAAAGTCAGCGTTTCAATTCATCTGTCATGGGAACCCTGACAGGACCCACATAAAGAGCGAGCTGGGCAGCCAACATGTAGAGCAGCTGGAATTAGGAGTCCAGCCGGGGTTCTCATGTGACGTCACAACTTCCAAGAGCCGCAACGACGCCCTTGAGAAAAGTCGTCAAGCTTGCTGTAGACTGTAGTTTAAAGGAATGCTTCAGCCAGCTTGGCTTCTGAGCCTGGAGTGTAATGAGAGGGCTTGGCTTCGGCATGTGTGTTGCCATTGTCGAGGATCAACCATAATCAACTTCTTGCCAATATCGACTCTTCGAGCTATTGATGTTTACATCCGGTGCATGTTGTCGAGCAGCTCACTACCTTTGTTTGAAATTGTTCTACAGACACATCATCGCGAGGCGTGATGAGGCCGCGGATGCCTTGGCCTGCACCCCAAGGGCTTTATGATGGATGCTTGAGCTACGGGCCTGCGGTATTGCGAGGGATGATCGGGCCTTATTGGCCTTGCATGAGGCTGTCTGAGGAATTTGCCCTCTTCCTCCTGTCCCTGGTTCTGTTTTGCAAAAAAAGTCTAACTGCACCCTCAGAAAATTGACACTGAACAGTGCGACAGCTCCACGTAGGGGTCCTGGAAGGCCACTGCAGAGAATCTCAAGCTGGCAGTGGAGCAGGAATTCCAGAAGGCTGGCACAGTTCCAAAAGTGGATCTGCAGGGTAGCAAGCTGACCTGCAAAGAAGTGCTGCAACCTCGAGATTCCAGCTGCTCTTGCGGAAAGCTGGACGGGCTTGCAGGTCTTGGCGGAGAAGGAGAAATTCGTCAAGGACTGTAGTCCCTGTTCAGTAGAGAGAGAATATGGGATATATGGGGATGATATTATAAAATACCCAAAGCCATATTCTATCTACTTAAGGGAGACTTGCTGCAGCTTAGGGCTAACTGCTTTGAGCATAACGAGAAGATGCGGCAATGACCAGCCTGCTCTTGCAGAAGCTGCCCTAAACCCTGTATATCCCCAGTATAGTAGTTTCCATTTTCTTTTCCATTGTCCTTATATTACCCAGAAGAAGTGCAGAATTATTTTTAGAGGAGACAGAGGCTTCCCTTGGCCTGTTGACGTCCAAGACCTCTGAGGCTCTGCGTGGGAAGAGCGGATACTATAGGCTATATACGGATTATAGGGTGTATATATATATATGTATTGGGGTTCTATAGGGATAATGGAAAAGAAAATGGAAACTATGTACCCCTTCTTCCATACATGTTCGTTTGATGTCCTGTCTTTCTTTGTATATCCCCCATTACTCACGCATAACTGAACCCTGCATACGAGAACAATGAAGGGCTGGTAGGGAGGAGTCTTTTGCAATTGATAAGGCCTGTTTTTTTCCGCATGTGGTAGGGCAATCGCTGGTTAAGAGCTGGTAGCCCGCGGCTTGCGGGAGCGTCCCTCTTTCTCTCTCTCTCTCTCTCTCTCCCTCCCTCTTTCTCTCTCTCAGGTTTGGAGAGGAAGGGGGGAGCTTCTGCCCGCATATCCATGCGTTTTGCATGTTAGGCGGATGGTGCCGAGTCAGGGGCTGAGTTTTTGTTCTTGACTTCCGGGCTGTTCCCTGCATGTGCCCTCATCAAACTTCATGACCCAATGCTTGCAACACACCACTTTTGGTTGACTCTGCAAGGCGTGCAGACGATCCAGAGGCCCGTGCTGTTTGTTCGAATGGGTGATCTGACTTCGCGTTTGCCAAGCATTTTTCAGGCATGTTTCTAGCCAAGAAAAGCAGTTGTCTTTGTAAGTACTCCAGCTGGAATAAGCGCCGCAGAGTACTTCTCCTTTCGCTCAGCAGCCGTTTGCTAGGCTCAGATGCGCAGGCATAGCTTCATCACACTGGTTCCTGGAACAGCTGCAAATTAGGCAGGTTCCAGCAAGTTCTAGTGGAGCAAAGGGTCATTGAGGTACCCTTCCAAATCAGAAACCAACAGCCACAGGAGATCCCCACTCTGCATCCAACCGAAGCTAACACACGCCATCAGCCAGTGATATCAAGATCCCTGCGCTTGTACGACACGATGAACAAACAATGGAAAAACAAAGCGATAGCTTCGGAGGCAAAGAGAACGACTCCTCAACAAGGCAGAACACGCATAAGCTGCACCACGCGCCATGATTCTTCGGCTTCATTCGTAGGGTCCAATGGCGCCAGGGGTGCCGCGAAACTTAGCCTTTGTGGAAGTTCCCCGGATGCCTAAGTAGCCTTGCTTTGAGAGACCTCCAATGTGACCCAACACCCACCTGCTGAGATTCCTTTGCACGAAATTCTGCAGCGGTTTGCCGTCTGATGCCATCCTGCTTTGTCTGAAGCCTCGACTCTTCTACAGCTGGCAGAAACGATTAGCTGCTAACTGGCCCCAATCTTGCCACAATCGTGATGAGCTTCCTTGCCAAGATTGCAGCCGTCCGATAGTTTGGCCTTGCCTAAGTAGGCAAAGCGCTGCTGCTCAAAGGCTTCAGTCAATCAGTCAATCAATGAACAATCAATCAATCAATCAATCAATCAATCGATCAATCAGCGCTTTAGCTTCTTGCATGTTCCCTTAGTTCACGATCTACTTGGGGGTTCTTAGGAGAGAAGAGAGCCTCGTGCCGTTGTGGAGCTGCCTCCTTTTAGGTTTGTAAAGAGCGCTGTCCAAAGTATGCTGACAGCAATTGTAAGGGCTGGGATAAGTGCCGAGGGGCCCAAGGGCAGGAAGCCAGATGTGAAACATGGGGTCAAGCAGGGGCCGTAACAATTCTGCGGGGCACTGAGTTCATAGTTTCGCTCTCAATTCCGTGCTTACACTTTGTGGGCTCGTTATCACGCTATTGAGCCCGCTTCAAACACTGCAAATCCTGATGAGGCCCACAACTAGCCTTCGATTGGCTCAGAAGGCAAGATACTGATCTAATCCCCGCGTAAGACTCCAATCCACCCAAGCAAGCTAGCATTGCATCATAAACCAGCAGCCGCCCTAAACCCGAGGACCATCAGCAAAAACCCAAGAAACCTGCATCAATTTGCATCAAACCATTATAAACACCCAAGCCACACACATGTTCATGCCCAGAAGGGCCAGAGAAGGGTCAGAATCGCATAAAGCTAGAGTACAACAAAGACGCAGAGATTTAGTATGGCGTCTGTGAGGACAGCATCCAGCCCTCCTGAACCCCAAAATGCGTGGCCAAGCAAGCGCGCAAAGCCTAGACACCTGGAACAGGAGAAACCGACCTCCAATGATGATGACGATGATGATGATGATGATGGCCTCTGGGTTCTCGGGCTTTAGGGAGGGAAGTGCCGATGTCTAACAGTTCTGAGATGGTCCCGGTCTTGCTGCTACCAACTGTTGTCATGCCCGAACTTCAGAATGGTCGACTAAACACGAAATCCTGTACTTCTTGCCCACCAAGCCATCAAATTCAATTCCATCTCCATAGCACCCCACGGAGGCGAAAAGTGGCCTGCAAACCTTCTACGCCTCGCCTTGTTTCAACCAGCACCCAGTGCTTGCCTACATGTTTGCAATCTCCAGTTCAACCTTGAAAAGGGATCCCTATCCTCGACCATTTACCTGGGAACACCCCAAGCTTCTAGGGCGCAAAGGGGTTCCCGGGTTCTCATATAACTACTTTAAGGCCCAGTAATATACTATAGAACTACATGGACCCTTTGGGTCCACTACGATGAGAGATCCCCAAGGTACGAAAGCGGGAGGGCGCTGGCCCGTGGTATGAAGCTATCTTGCGAGACCTGCAGTTTGACAAGGCCTTAGCTCTTGAAGTGAGCTATAATCTAAACGCCTAGTATTCCCCCTTCATAATCCGCTGGGGTTGAGGGTTTAGGGTCTAAACTCCTAGGATCGCCTTGGTAACCCCCTTTAACTGTCCCCTATATATAGCCCTACATAACCCCGCGTTTAAGGAGTTAGACTACAGTACAAGCGGAAATGGTATGGGTACTAGGAATGGTGATGGTGCTGAAGCTTGCAGTAGTCGTAGTACACCATGTGTGCCAAAAGAGAGAGCTTGTCGGCTGAATTAATTATGGAATATCAATATCAAGTTGGACAAGTGAACAAACTCGGCAGGCTCTCTTTTGATCTGATGTGCGTTCCGTAGGCTTTTGCTTGCAATTGTTGAAATTACTGGGCCTTCACTATCCGAGAGGCCGAGATGCCCTTGTGGCACGGCAAGCTTCTAGAGCTACTGAGCAACTCTTGCATTTGTGTTTCCACAACGCAGGAAATTTCCCATTGCTATTGTCACAGCTCTCCCACTTTCGCAGATGTTTCTACCGCCGCGATTTGATCGTAAAGCAGCCCCTTCTTGACACTTCTCGTGTTATACACCTGGGAGCTGAAGGACCCAGACAATCGTGGTGTGATCCCAATAGTCTTGAACGATCACCGTGTTCACCAGCTTCTCCGAAATTTCTATAAACTAATCTAGGGCCTGTGGATGAGCAGACTTATGGTAGCTTTCCAACTAGGGGAACCCCAATCTACGATAATCATGTGACCCCCAAGAAAGGTACCTCTCTTTTTTGGAAATGCCCATATATTCCCTAGGAATCACACCTTTGGTTCATGAAAGGCTGGGTTGCTGTTAAGGAGCTTAATTTAAAGTTACTGTATGATGGGTACATAGTAGATAAGAGGATTTCCTTACTAGAGAAACCTTAAACCCCATGCATCCTTGTTCTGGCAGCTTAATTTAAATTCCTTAGCAGCAACCCAGTCATCTCCAGTATAAGG